TGTGACATGTACATGATTTGGCATCATTTCACACATGATTTTAGGGCATATAGTGTTGTCACACTTCCATGTTTGTCACTTCTTAATCATGTTTGAGAGTTGTGCTCTTATGCTTAGTTGATGGGCCAATGCATGAGCGTGCATTTTCTTGCTTTCAATGCTAACATTTTAGCACATTTTGGCCACTGTTTTGGCATGATTGTGGTCTGTCCATATTGGGTTTTAGTCCATTGAGCATTGCTTTGCATGCCTCTTGTGAGATGCTCTTTCCTAGCTTTGATGCTTTAGCATCCGAACATGCCATGCATGCATTCTTCATGTGTTAGAATCTTGTGCATGCCATTCTAGCATTCATAGAAGTGCATTTTGTTTGCATGTGCATGCATTGAATTGTGTTTGCATGCCATTAGCATTGATAGGTTGCTTATGTTGCATTGCATTGTGTATGCATGTCATTAGCATTGATAGGTTGCTCGTGTTGCATTGCATTGTGTATGCATGCATTACGTTGTGTTTAGCATGCTTGAGTTGCATTGTATGTGTTTGGATTGGGTGTTAATCCAAACACGGGAAACGAGGGACGTTTCATACTTGAAGTGATGAAACGTGCCTCATTTCTCGGTCACCGACCCTCTTGATCATGCATGATAAAGGATAAGGCTTTATGTGATATGTGTGCATTCATTTCACATTGATTCGTGCAATCTTGGCTTCTCGGCCATCATGCATCGAGATGCTCGGTTGGTGGCCCGAGGGTCGAGAACCGCACTCCCTTGAGCTTAAGAAATGGTAGGGAGGGTGGTTGTGCACACATATCTTGCAAATACATTGATGTGCCCTTTTCTTGTTCTCTGTTGCAGCAAACTGGAAGTATGGCAGAATTTCTGGTCGGCAAACCAGTAAAAGTGGCTGGCCGACCACTTTTTCTAGTCTGCAGTATGTGTAAGTGGTCTACAGGTGGTCTACACCACGAATAAGTGGTCGGCAACCATCCTGGAGGTCTCCAAGTTGAGGTAGAAGCTATCTGGAGGTTTGTGCAGTGTTCGAAGATCAAATGCAAACAAAGGCAAGTTGGGGCACGGTGATGAATTTCCGAACGAGGCGACCAAGCATCCATGCACTTCTCGCCCTGAGGACCTCTTCTTACTGCTTTACTTAACTGCTTTGTTTAGCTAGTTAGCTATTTGGTTTTGTACTTATGTAGGTAATGCACTTAGCTATTCATTTGTGGTTGTAACTAATTAACTTGTTAGGTAATTAGCTTCATTTTGTAATAATTAGTTTAATTAGCTTAGATTAGCTAGTTAGCTTATTATTCGGACCCTTCGTCGAGAGGGCAAATTTTGTAATAAGTGTGCGTGTGTGTGATGCATGTTTTCCAACCCCCATTTCTTTCTCCCTTTTACTTAACCGCTTTCGATGGTTAGTTTTAAGGTCATTTTCTCTTAGGATCCTTACGCCTTGCATGCGTGCATCCATTCATCTGTCTTGCATGCACCGGGCTCAGCGCATCATACAAAGTACATTGTACTTCAATAACTAATTTGAATACATGTTATCAAGTTGCATTCACATGACATCTTAGAATAGCCGAGCCTATCTTAGTTGCATTTTTCGTGTGTTGCATTAGGCATTGATTAACATGGCTAGGATCATGCATTGATTACTAACTAGCTTTTGTTTTGGCTCGGAGTACTAGGTAAGCTTTTATGCTTTAGCATCCTTGCATGTGTGTAAGTGAGTGTCACGATAGCATGCTTGTCGTGAGGCTATTTGCTTAATTGCTATAACTGGATGAATGCTTGTGGACGAAGGCTTCATTGCTTGAATTGGGACAATTCATCAAAATGTGAGTTTTAAGCCCACTTGAAGTGGCAAA